TTGGGGGGTGGATAATTTCAAGATTGGGTGAGGCTATTCTATTCTTTCAATTTCTCTTCTAATTCCACAGCTTGACCATCTAACAAAACATTTCCATTGATATATTACCGTACTTTTAACTTGTGCTTAGAAATGAAGAGTTGTGTATACGACCTCTAAATTGCTTTGGTGAGTCCAGTTTGCAAGGAGGTAATTTATAGGCCAGCTGGCTGTGTGTACTCTACAGTTGCAAGTTTCCAAGTTTAAGCTCAAATTACTATACTCCAAAACATGGTCTAAGTGGAACCTCTCTCTCTCTCTCTCTCTCTCTCTCTCTCTCTCTCTCTCTCTCTCTCTCCCCTCCCCCACTGTGTCTGTGCCCCCTCTCTCTCTCTCTCTCTCTCTCTCTCTCTCTCTCTCTCTCTCTCTCTCTCTCTGCCTGTCCTTCTGTCATATCGTAGGTTGGCCTTGAACTTACCATGTGTCCAAGGAACACCTTGAACCTTGAACCTCTGATCTGGTTACTAGAATCAGATATGCATCAGCATGCTCATTTACTTGGTGTATGGAATCCAGGTCTTTGTGCATATGTGTAGCACTCCCAACTGAGCTGCATCCCCAGACCTGCTTTCTTTTATTTTTCATTTATATGATTAAATGTTTTTCATCTTACATACTAGCCCCAGCTCCTCCTCCACGTTTGCTAGCCCCCTCACACCTCCCTCCGTTCTACTGCTCATCCACTCTCCTTTAAGAAGAGTAAGGTCGTCCTTGGGAAGTCAACAAAGTCTGATATACCAAGTTGAGGCAAGACCAAGACCCAACCCCATATAAAGGCTGAGCAAGGTATTATACTATAGGGAATGAGTTCCAAAAAGCCAGTTCTTGAACCCAGGATAAGTCCTTGTCCCACTGCCAGCACCACTCCCCCAACAGATCAAGCCACATAACTGTCAGCCACATTCGCTGGGCTTAGTTTGGTCCCATGAAGGGTCCCCAGCTGTCAGTCCAGAGTCAGTGAGCTCCCACTTGGTTAGGATCAGCTCTCTGTTGTTTTACCAATCATGATCTTGACTCCCCTTGCTCATATGATCCTTCTTCCACTCTTTACCTCAACTCCAGGAGCTCAGCCCAGTGCTTGTCTGTGGGTAACTGCATCTGTTTCCATCAGTTTTGAGATGTAGGTCCTATGATGACAATTAGGGTATTCACTAATCTGATTATAGGCAAAGGCCAGTTCAGGCACCCTCTCTAGGAATCTTAGCTGGGGTCATCCTTGTAGATTCCTGGGAATTTTTCTTGCACCTCGTTTCTCCCTAACCCCGTAATAGCTCCCACCATCAAAATATCTCTTCCATTGCTCCCCAGATCCCCTTTCTGTCCCTCTTCCAACTCAACCATCTTCAGCCTCATATTCCCATCTCCCATACCCTTCCCTTCTACTACATTTCCCAGTTTACCCAGATCGTATATATTTCCCTTTCCTGGGACCGTTCATATGTGTCCCTCTTCAGGTCTTCCTTTTTTACCTAGCTTCTGTGGGGGTGAATTTTAGCCTGGCTATCCTTTGCTTTATATCTAATACCCGCTTATGATGAGTGAATACACAGCATGTTTGTCTTTCTGGCTCTGGGTTACCTCACTCAGGATGATTTTTTTTTTTAGTTCCATCCACTTGCCTGAAAAATTTCAAGATCAGACATTCTTTCTTATGGGTAACCCATCATACTCAGGGTTGTCCTTTCACAGTCCAGACAGTGAAGCTAGCTCTGGAACCATGACGATTTTATTAAGTTTATCCAGGTATCATTATGTGATGTGATTGGCGGTGCTTATTGATGAATCTTATTTTCTGTTCTGTGATTTTTATTGTCTGAGTTTATTAAGTGTTCCTGGGATTCAGCCTTCTGTAATTAATTAAAAAAACCCACTTTTTAGGCTGAACTATGGTAGAAATGTGCAGACAGGTTTTGCATGATTTGTGTTCTTTGAGTCTTACTTCCTGTGAAAAGAGTTACATTGACTTAAAGTAACCTATAATAACTGCTATTGTCACTGCCATCTTTAAAAGATTGTGTGGACCATGTTCTTATTGTCTCCAAACAGCAATTTTTACATTCTAGCTTTTGGTGTTACGCTATCAACTATCAGTGCAACTTTCTGTTCTTGCCAAAAAAGATCTATATAGCCATTCTTCCTAATCTGGTTTCCTGGAATGGTGCAGGGTCATATTCCACATAGTATTCATATCAGTAAAGAAAAAAAAACAAAAAAAAATGTTTGCTCTCTATGTTTTGAATTCATCTTATAAAGTATTTCTATTACCAACTTGTAAATGGACTATAGAATGATTTTAAAATGTTTATTGTGTTCTAAAAGGACAATAGAGGGTTTCAGAAAGTGTTCTGAAGTAGACACTTTAGTTCTGTGGGTTGAGCTGGGTTTTATGTCTTGATTTAAGTTGCAGGCAGTCTGTGTTCATAGCACAAATATCTAGATGGACTCTTGCTTTTAGCCTTCTGTGTTTCAGATCCCTACAATGTTTTCGTTCCTTTTTTCTGATATGCCATTGATTTAGTTTTAAAGGCCATTACATAGTGCCAGATCTCTGTGTGTTATAAAGTCACAACTTTTGATATAGCTTGCTAATTCCATGCCTACATATTCTTTCCTCTCACTAAACATCTAAACACCACTAGGCCAAAAATCCCATGGCCCCTATGCACATTAGTAATTAACTGTGAACTAAGCACATTAGTAATTAACTGTGAGTTACCAATAATGCATATGTGTTGCATTAATTGATGAAATAAAAGTACTTCCCCTTAGAGTTATTGAACCAAGAATGAGTCCCGATTTTAACTTCTTACATCATGTTCCCTGCCTGTATCTTCTGTCTGTCTATCTAGCTATTATCTATCTATCTATCTATCTATCTATCTATCTATCTATCTATCTATCATATGAATCTGAATCTATGCCTTCCTGAAGGCTGTCTTGTGAATTTGTCCCTGGCTCTATATCTGGGTCCACCCTTGCATGTCTATCTGCTGTGTGACTATGTGGCTATGTGTGTGTGTTCCAAGTAAAGGGCTCTGCTCTGTCTTTATTGAACACCACAGAAAGCATTGTGCAGAAGGAATAATATACTTTACAAAACATCTTTAACAGAATTTTACAAGAGATTATGTCACTGGGTTCAACTGATCGAAAATGACCCAGACAGCAAACAGTATGACAAGTACCATTATTTATCAACCGATATCTGTAAATGTTGTATTCAACATTTGTGATAGTTATTCATTTTAGAAGATTGCTTCCAACATTTGTATTTGTTGCTTTCAGCTATATATATATTTATGTGTGTGTGTGTGTGTGTGTGTGTGTGTGTGTGTGTTTTCTGTGTCAGAAACGTGGAAGAATACATGACTTTAGATTGAAACTACACATTGACTTAGGTTGCAAAAGCTGATTATATGGAAAACTCAAGACAATTTTCAGTTTTATCTTAAAACTTTTGCTCAAATACACATTCATATCTTGAAATTTTGTATTTCTACCAACAACTCATGTGTTTGCAAGTTAATCTAAATATGGCACAAAGATGCACACACACACACACACACACACACACACGTATATGGTGTTCCAAAGTTTTTTTTTATTTTTTTATCCTTTAAATTACAGAATAAATGTATACTGTCTTCAGTACTTAGATAACATTTATAGTACTCCTTTTTTTATTTTCAAATTGTAAGTCTAAAAATAGCCAAAGAAACAGTTTCAAACATACCCTCTCTGCTGTGGATACAAGTTGCTCCAATCTTCCCATTTGTGAGAATTGAGGGACTTGCACCTAGCCATGTCCTGTCATGTTAGCTTATTTTGTAGGGAAATCAAATCTGGCACCTTTCAATTAGCTTCCTTCCATTTCCATCTAAAAGCAGATAGAACACAGTGTCGAGAAAGAAAGCATGAGTGCTATCCTTGGATTTCCTTGACTCTCTTTTCAAAATTTGCTAAAAAGTCATCCTGTAAAGACAAGAAAGTGCTCTCACACTGGAAGATGGTCCTGTTGAAACAAAATTTATTCCCAATTTGAGGTTGAAAATACTTACGATAATCACAGTGGGCTATTTCAGTTATACCTGGAGGTCCCAATGAAGGGGATAGGTGGATATGTGTCTTGTATTGTTATTGGTCAGTCTCCTTGGTAATGAGTTTAAGTAATTCCACATTAAGGAAAAAGAAAAAGAGATAGAAAAGAGAAATCTCTGGCTTTATACTTCAGTTATGTTTCATCCTGGTATCAGAGGAAAATATGGATGGTATATTTAATGATACCAGTCATAGTCATGATGTATTCCAAAATAGTACAAAAGTAGATAGTTATTCCACTTTTGGTGTGTGTGTGTGTGTGTGTGTGTGTGTGTGTGTGTGTGTGTTTACAGCAAAAGGGGGTAGGTAGTAAGTAAATACTTGTGTCAGGATGCCCTTATTCTCTCATTACCTTTTCCCCTTCTTTTATTGTCCATTCTCTAATGTTCCCCATTAAGCACAAACAAGATTTTGTACCAGAATTTAAAAGTGTCTTTTGCAAGAGATTGAAACTTAAAAATTTTCAGCTTCTTTACCATATCTACACTATTACATGGTACCTATGTCTAGGAATGCAACATGTTTTGGGGAGAATTTCTTAATAAGGATGTATTTCAAATGGCTTAGTTCCCATTTTGTAGTTTTACAATTGATAATTCCATAGAACTGCATGTCATTTCTCTTAAATTTCTCTATCTTCCACCTTGAAATAATAGAGCTTCCAACGAATCTTCACTGACAAGACAGACACCAAGAATCCAACAAGATATCGGTTGCACTTGCCTATCATAGCATGCAGAATGTCACCAACCTGACTCCCAGTACTTAGTCCCAGTCACAGTTTTGCTCTAGGAATTACTTGTAGCAATACTTATACCATTATTACCCTTAACTGACTCTTATGTCTTTCTTTTCTACAACAGATTGAAGACTGTTTAGCCAAGGAATTTCTAGGCTGCTCTATGCTGGCCTGACTTACTATAGAAGAAGCAAGATTTGCCTGCCTGGCTGGACTTCTATTGGCAGTACTTACCACTTGGCATCACTCTTTGCTTGTGTGGAAAATTCTCCCTTTTGAGTCGTTTTGCACATGGAGGACCACTGCATGAGGGCAACATAGGCAGATCAGACTAAAGACATCGGAAAGATTGTTTCACCATCTGCCCTCAGGTCATTTCTTCTAACAGAAGTTTGGACTTTGACAGAACCTGTTCCAGTCATTTTGCTTTTGCTTTTTGTTTTTGCTATTGTTTGCTATTCTTTTGTTTTTAATTTTCCCCCTCCATCACATTGTATTTTATTTCTGTCTTTCAGCAATGGGCCTGCAGACTACAAAGTGGCCCAGCCACAGGGCTTTTTTTCTAAAATTTTGGCTTATCATTTCCCTGGGGCTCTCCTCACAAGTGTCAAAACTCCTGGCCTGCCCTAGTGTATGCCGTTGTGACAGGAACTTTGTCTACTGTAATGAGCGAAGCTTGACCTCAGTGCCTCTTGGGATCCCGGAGGGCGTAACCGTACTCTACCTCCACAACAACCAAATTAATAATGCTGGATTTCCTGCAGAGCTGCACAATGTACAGTCAGTGCACACGGTCTACCTTTATGGCAACCAACTGGATGAATTCCCCATGAACCTTCCCAAGAACGTCAGAGTCCTCCATCTGCAGGAAAACAACATTCAGACCATCTCTCGTGCTGCTCTCGCTCAGCTCCTGAAGCTGGAAGAACTACACCTAGACGACAATTCCATATCTACAGTAGGGGTAGAGGACGGAGCTTTCCGAGAGGCAATTAGCCTCAAACTGTTGTTTTTATCAAAGAATCACCTGAGCAGCGTGCCTGTTGGACTTCCTGTAGACTTGCAAGAGCTGAGAGTGGATGAAAACCGAATTGCAGTCATATCAGACATGGCCTTTCAGAACCTCACTAGCTTGGAGCGTCTGATTGTGGATGGGAATCTCCTGACCAACAAGGGCATTGCTGAGGGCACCTTCAGCCATCTCACCAAGCTCAAAGAATTTTCCATAGTCCGGAACTCGCTCTCCCACCCACCTCCTGACCTCCCAGGTACGCATCTGGTCAGGCTCTACTTGCAGGATAACCAGATAAACCACATCCCACTGACAGCCTTCTCCAACCTCCGTAAGCTGGAACGGCTAGATATCTCCAACAATCAGCTACGAATGTTAACTCAAGGGGTCTTTGATCATCTCTCCAACCTGAAACAGCTCACTGCTCGGAATAATCCTTGGTTTTGTGACTGCAGTATTAAGTGGGTCACAGAATGGCTCAAATATATCCCGTCTTCTCTCAATGTGCGGGGTTTCATGTGCCAAGGTCCAGAGCAAGTCCGGGGAATGGCTGTCAGGGAGCTGAATATGAATCTTTTATCTTGTCCCACTACAACTCCTGGCCTACCAGTCTTCACCCCAGCTCCAAGTACAGTTTCTCCAACAACTCAGTCTCCTACTCTTTCTGTTCCAAGCCCCAGCAGAGGCTCTGCGCCTCCAGCTCCTACCCCATCGAAACTTCCCACCATCCCTGACTGGGATGGCAGAGAAAGAGTGACTCCACCTATTTCTGAAAGGATCCAACTTTCCATCCACTTTGTTAACGATACTTCGATTCAAGTCAGCTGGCTGTCTCTTTTTACTGTGATGGCATACAAACTGACATGGGTGAAAATGGGCCACAGTCTCGTAGGGGGCATTGTCCAGGAACGAATTGTCAGTGGTGAGAAGCAGCACCTGAGTTTGGTTAATTTAGAGCCTAGATCCACCTATCGGATTTGTTTAGTGCCACTGGATGCATTTAACTACCGCACTGTGGAAGATACCATCTGCTCTGAGGCCACTACCCATGCCTCTTATTTGAACAATGGCAGCAACACTGCTTCCAGCCACGAGCAAACAACTTCCCACAGCATGGGCTCCCCTTTCCTGCTCGCAGGTTTAATTGGGGGTGCAGTGATTTTTGTGCTCGTAGTTTTGCTCAGCGTTTTTTGCTGGCACATGCACAAAAAGGGACGATACACCTCCCAGAAATGGAAATACAACAGGGGCCGACGGAAAGATGACTATTGTGAGGCTGGCACCAAAAAAGACAACTCCATCCTGGAGATGACGGAAACCAGTTTTCAGATCGTCTCCTTAAATAACGATCAGCTTCTTAAAGGAGATTTCAGACTGCAGCCCATTTACACCCCAAATGGGGGCATTAATTACACAGACTGCCACATCCCCAACAACATGCGATACTGCAACAGCAGTGTGCCAGATCTGGAGCACTGCCACACGTAACAACAGCCAGAGGTCCCACGTTAGAAAGGTGGACAACCAAGCTCTCAAGAACACACATGTGTGTGCACATAGAGACACGCAAATTACATTTGATAAATGTTACCCAGATGCATTTGTGCATTTGCATACTCTGTAATTTATACGGTGTACTATATAATGGGATTTAAAAAAAAGTGCTATCTTTTCTATTTCAAGTTAATTACAAACAGTTTTGTAACTCTTTGCTTTTTAAAATTAAAAAAAAAAATGTTGCTGAAGTACTGTACTGGGTTGTACAATGAGGACCCAATGCCAAGGCAGAAGAACGAGTGATTCATACTTAAGATGCATATTAACCACTTTGCTGTTGAAGCTGTCAGAATAAATCCCTTCTCTAGAGCTGATAGTCACATGAAAGGATAGATTCAGATGGGCTCAGATGGGTAAGAGGGATAGTTTGAGTAAAGAGAGAATGGCCTAGTTATTTCTATGTTTTCTATACCTCCTGGCCTGGAAGAAACGCTGTTTGAAAAATTCATGGTGTAATAGTAGAGATAGTTATTCCAATTTGACCCAGTGCAAGAAATAGAACATCATAAGGAAGCCAGTTCCCATAAGATAAGTTAGGCCTACTTGACCAAATGAAAGAAACTGAGAGATTTGAAATGTCCTTAAACCAGGGTTGGCTTTCTGACTGTGAACTTCAACCTCACTCTTCATGCTTCCCTGGCCTTGTATGATAACAGAGTTGGAAACCTGAGTCTGATTCTAGTCATCTTCAGGGACCAATATGATCTCTTCTAGCAAGAAAATTCCCCTCAAAACTGTCACTATTCAAATCACATGTCAGGTTGAATCATATCCAACAGAGTTATATTCTAGAATAATTTTTTTAGAAGAGGCTAATAAAAATAATGGGAAGAATTATATTGAATGGAATTATTTTTGATAATGAAAATTATTTGGGTAGATTCACTGAGGCTATATCAACATGGTGTTTAGACCAACAAAGAACAGTGTTTGGAATATTTTACAGTAATATGTTTATTTAAAAAGTACTAATACCACTTAGAAAAAAATCAGTGATTCTCTTACACTGTGTCCGCTGACTTTGTTTGTATCATGTTGAAATAGCTTGAATTAATACCTATACCCCCTTTCAAATTCTTGTCTTCCAATCATCTTGCATATATATTTTTTGTGATTATGTTGTATATGCCACCTGTGTTTCCCCCCTCTACTTGGTATTTCAAAGAAAATTATGGACACAAATCTTGATCGCACAAAATATCCCTGTGCATTTCTACATAATAAAATCCATATTAACATTCATTGCCAATGATTCTGTGAAGACACCAAAACTGGCCAAAACAATGCGTATTGTTAAAAAGCAATACTCTGTTTCTGTTTTGATTTAACTTTGATCCTTTTCCACATTCCAAATTCCATTTGTTCTTTTTAGATTGTGGATGTCCTTCTATTTTGCTAATGATAGGGTGATAATCTTATGCTAAAAGACTACCAGTGAAAATGAATAAGTCAGAGAAGACAAGGTTTCTCTAGCCATGGCATAGAAAGGACAATAGCAGAGGGTAGAGGAAAGAGGGATGTCCATTATTGATGCTAGGTATTTTTTGAAGTATGTCCATTTCCAGAAAACATGCATAATTTACCCCAATTCTTGTCATCCCTTAGGTGTAGAAGGGCTATAGACCACATACATTGTCTAAAGAAATTTACCCTTGGGGAATTCTTTTCAAAGCCTCATTTAGGCATTTCATTCTGTGTTCCTTTACAGTCATCCATCACTTTAGGGACTCATGAAGTAAATGTCACACTCTTCTTGCTTTCTCTTTCTCTCTAAGCAAAATAAAACTGTGATTTGTCTTCTTGTAAAAATTTAGGTATAAAATGCTATGCAAGCTTTTCTTTATAGCAAGAGCTTTATTTTCTTTAATAATATACCCTGACTTATATGTTTTAATCTCCCTCACCCCTCAGAATAAGCAGAAAATATAACTGCATTGATAATGTTATAGACACAAGCATTGAAACTGTGCAGTCAGTAGAGCTGAACATAGTTATGAATTAATTTAATTAATTCTGAAGTGACTCGGGTTTCCTCTTTAGTCTCTTAGCTAGAGGGTTTGGGCTGTTGGTTTCTGGAAAGTAGGTTCACACAGTGAAGGAATAAGACCATCTGGAATGGTGATCAGTGTAGCGTTACATCATCTAAAATCAGGACAATGACATGGGTTTCTGTGTATTAGCTGAATGTTTTCTTTTCATTGTTCTCTTGCCTTTCACTATAGGTAAGACTGTGTGCTGAGAAATATAATGGTACTTTGATTTTTGAGGCTTTTTATTTTGTTATAAACAAGATAATCATTCTTATCTCTTTGTAATGTATGTCTGACTCCCAGAGGGATTTGTGGCCATGGAAATGTCTTTTCTTTCTTCCAGGAGGAAGAGCAGAGAGGTTCCCACAATATTGTATGGCACCCACAACACTACTGAGAGTTGAAGTGATGCTATAGAGGCCCAGTCATGTAATATGGTTAAGATACTTTCAAAATTGCCCAGGTAGCAGGTGTTTCTGGAAAAAGCAAATCTTTATTTTGATCTTATGAGCAACACAGCAAAGACATCTACCATGAAAATCAGACTACCATCTGTAATAGTGTGCTTGAGGGACTCCTACATCATAGCTGAAATCAAATTATATAATCTGTACCAGCTTATGAAATTTAAAAAAACAAAAACAAAAAAACAGATGAGCAGCAATCCTTACTGGATGCCATTTTGGCTGACATCTTTCATCAGGAATTTGCCCTGCAGTTATATTTCCTCTGTGTTTGGTCCTCTCTCAGCCAGTATTTATTTTGAGGTGGTTAGTTAAGAATCAAAGGAGAGTTGATCTCAGATAGTGTCACAGCCTGACAGTACAATAACTATACCTATACAGAGGATATTTCCTTGTAAAAGGAAAAGGAAAACCTGGTCACACAACTGTTATCAGTGGTTAAATAGAAGGTAGTCACCTATACCTCCTTGCTTGTAGAGATGCAAACGACCCTAGGGAGACTCTGGGTTTCACTTAAACACTTAAACACTTAAACACTCACTACTGCCTTGGCTTGGCAGTATAAAACTTCGGACAATCACAGCAGACATGAGAAGGGAGTTTCCCTGTTTATGATATAAGTAGAAAAATCTTCCCTTGTGAGAAATAATGCTTTTTCTAACTATTCAGATGGTTGCTGAAACAATATTAGACTTTTCTCTCAAGGGTAAAAACAAAAACTATAATGTGATCTTTTAGAAAAAATATATTAATGGCATCACTAATATTACACCTCTGTTTCTTAATAATGGAGGTCATAATGGTCTTAGTCATGCCACACAGAGAGAACTTCCTTCCCCCCTGGAGAAAACATGGCTCTTCATGTGAGGAGAGCATCCATTCCAAATACAAAGCACCATTGTTTTCTTCAAAGGCAGGTGCCACACTGGATCAGCAAATTTCATCTGCAGCATCCCCTGTGGTTTTTGACAATGAAGTGGTTAATTTTAATTGATGTCTTTGTTTATAGCATTTATCTCTGACCTATCAAAAGGGAACATTAGTTGATTTAGAACCTAAGGATGACACATATGCTCATAACTTACTCTTCCCACTGAATGGGAAAGCAAAACAGAAGAGTGCCCAACCAGAAAATGATACACACACAAAACAAAAACTCTCAATTTTTAATCTTGCCAAATTTAGCTTCTTTTCTGTTTTTTAAGTTAAAATAAGTAATGATAGGAAGCTGTATCTATACCCTTCTTCAGTTTCATCAACGGGATTGAAGCAATTGTTGACAATGGGGATGCTTTTCACTGATTGTGGGGAAAACATTTTGTACACAGTATGATACTGTTTTAGCAAACCAGGTTGTTTTGTTATAGTATTTGGTTTTTTAGCTACACATACACCAGAAGAGCACAAACCAAGGCCATTGCAACAGGCATTTTTAAATTAATACAAAACATGCAAATCCATGCATACATATCCATGGGGTGTTTGTAAATTGTCTGTGGGATGTGAGATTTGTAACCATTTATGACAACATGAGGCATCACCACTGTATGCCCTCATAGGATAATATTTACTGAACGTTAACTTTGATGATCTGTCACTGTTTGAAGCATATATTGATTTGATTCTGGTTTGTGTTTAGTGTGTTTCTCTGACAAGGGACTGCAAGGGGCTGGAAGATTCTGTGTCATGCATCCTCTGAGACCTACCATGTTGCACACTTTGTTAACTTCAGACTTCACTCTACACTATATAGTACCTTGTTGATATATTCAGTAAAGGCTTATTTTAAAAGAAAACTCATTGTGTTTATCTGAGTGAGTTCACCTGACTATAACCAGTACTTCTGCTCTAAGGTAATTGAAAACGTGAAATTCTTCTCATACAACAAAAATGGCAGAAATGAAGCAGGTTGTAAAGTATGTATACCCTCCTACTAAATAAGCAACATCCATTTTTTAAAGATAGTGGTCTTTTTGTATAAGACACAAATGTGGAAGTCAAATATTCCTCCCTTTTCTCCACTGAAATATTTTCAGAAAATTATCTTATATAAACAGTACCACAGAGAGCACAGAATTCAGTGTTTGAGAAATGCAATCAGACACATGTATCTAATATGCACACAATCACAGAAGTCTGTCTCTTTCACAATATGCACTTGATTTTGAATGTTATTAATGAAAATTCATGTCTCTTTTATTCAAGTATTACTCACAGTTCAACTGTACTTTCTGAAGGCTACTCATGGTAGTGCATCTACTCAAATAACTCTGATTTGATTCTAGAGTAGCCTTAAGGGAATTTCCAGAGCCCCATTCTCTAACACTTGGTCATTTCTTCACTGATGTATTTGACATGGGAGTGAATGAATCAGGAAATAAAATGATGGCTTTTCATTTAACTAACATTACTAATTGCAGAACTTCAAGTGGGTAGTGAACTGTGAAAGCCAGGATTAACAGGCACTTCACATTACATTGAGAAGACTTTACATACAATACTATAATTGCTAATCTTGCTTATTTTTGCTGAATTACAGAGTCTATGGTAACTAGGCTCTCAGCCAATAAGAAACATTCATTTAGTAGAATTTATTAAGGTCTTCATTCACTGACTGGGCTCCAGGATGATTTCAGAGACTTTAGAATAATACAATAAAATCTTTTTAAAAATCTGCATTTTCTAGCCCCCCAAAATCTGTGTACCCAATGTATTTACAACCTACTTTTTATGGGACTGTTACATTTTACTCTTGTTACTTTCAGAAAAGAAGAAACTTGCTACTTAGGAACTCAAAGATCACTTCCTAAACAATTTCTCTAAGACATTTTAATGTATTCTACATAGTTTCCCTATAGTAACAGTATACCAACAATAATAAATAGGTATATCTACTAGTGAGGAAGTGAGATGGTGCATTTTTCATATAGTGTTGTAAGTTGTTGCAAAGTGATAGCATATTGAAAATTAGGGGCTCAGCTGGATTTAAGGTGTCAAATTCACAGCAAAATATTGAAACTGTATTTGCAAATTATACATGCAACCTATTAAAATTCTATTCAGAAACAGAAAATGAACAATCAAATTGAATAAACATACCTGAGAAGTGTGAAGAACACATGAAGATAAGTGTGCTCTTGCTCTCTCTTTCTTTGTCCCTCCCTCCCTCTCTCCCTCCCTTCATCCCTCTCTCTCTCCTTCCTTTCTGTCTTCCCGTTTGTGTCTTTAAGATATTCATGGAAGGTTAATTCTCAGTAATTTTTCAAGTTTTAGTACTGAACTTCAAGAGAATCTCAGTGTTTGACCTATAATCCCAAGTGTATATGGTGGAGTCCAGAACTTAGCTTCCAAGAGGACTACATAGAATCTCACTGACTAGCTATAAGGCTGACCTTCCAAATAAGATATTATTCAATCTTACAGAACTTTGATGACAGAGCTATTGCAGTCTTTAAGTGGATGCCAATACTAATTTCTATATATATAGATGGACATATTGATATTTCCCAGAGAAAGGTGGTTCTTACACTTTCAGTAATTTATACACCTCCAAATTGGGGTAATCTTTCCTTAGTGATAAATGACACAGTCTTGGATTCTGTTAAACTCCAGTAATTGTCAGGATCAACCAGTATTGCTTTATCTTTATTACCACTCATTGAATATTTACTGAAAGTTTGAGTGTCTGGTACAGTACATTGCTGCATCAAAATCTCTCCCAGACACTGCAAGGACTTAAGACATGACCCATATTCTCCCAAAGTCAGGTCTCTCTTTTCCACATTTGGATCCTGGGATCAAACTCAGCTTTTCAGGCTTGGCTGCAAATGCTTTTACACACTAGGTTGAGTTTCTAGTCTTTGTCATGTTAATTTTTTAATGACTTGTTTCATTCCTATACTCTAGACACCCTGGAAATCTTGAACATAGTCTACCAATCCTTTTAGCCTGTCCATTGCTCAATAAGATTCCAGGTCCATGACGTGTAACAGGGACATATGTAATCTTAAATCAATAATGCCTCCTCTTGAATAATGTGAGGTAGCCTTGCTCAAATAGCTTAAAATGTGCTTTACATAAAGGAGGAAAAATATCCTCTTCCCTCAAAAACTTTTCAACTTCACAGTTAGATATATTTTATAGGAAAAATTGAGGCTATATATTTGATTTGAAATTTTTCTATAGAATCTTGTTATGCCCCAAGGGTGAGCTGAGTGAACAACTTACATGAATTGAAGAACTTCATTTTATGTTATAGGCAAAATTCAAAATTTTGAGCCAGTTTTGGGTAATAAAGGCATATAAAAGAAAATCTTTTAAAATTATCTTGCAATAAAATGACACAATCATGAAAAGTCAACAAAGCACCTGTCCTCATTAAATTAAACATTTTGACAGTTGGAAGTTAATAGTAAATTTTCCACATTTGAAAAACATTGGTAGATGCGCCTTTCATTGCTAGCAGTAAAATCAGGACGGACAATCATTGTTCATTGTCACAGCCCAGATGAAAACACCCCAATGTCACTCATAGGGTCACATTATATTATCTTATTTCCATCTGTAATGTACAATGTATAATCCTTTCTAGAAATAATTTCTCCCTACATCAAGGTACAGTTGATGGTAATGAAATAGTCAGACTTGAAACAAGACTGATTAATGTTAGGAAGCTGACCCTACTATTAGCTAGCCTACTAACCTCAGCAATAACTTGGAGTTGAAGTTATCTCTTTCCTTTTCCTTTTGTGTAAATGGGAATAATGATAGTCTAAATGCATCAACTTGTGGAGAAGTTGGCATAGTTATTGTTTCTGAAGAAAAATCAAGGGAATGACTTTCAGCTTTATGTTTTCGGTTTTGGGTTTGTTCAAAACAAGGTGACCTATATCCACACCTCTATGATGTAAATTAAGCATTAGAATAGTTAACAGAATTCTATGCAGATATAATCTATTTAAAAGTAGCTGCTTTCCAAATCCAATTTAATTGTGCACAACTATCAGCATCACAATCAGACAGTTTCACATTGTCCCAGTTTTTTTATTATCGTTCTTTTTTGAAAGAGCTGGAGTAAGTGAGTTGTCTCACAATATCATACAGAAATAGCAGGCTTTCTCTTTTTGAGGAGGAGGACCATTGAACAAGACCATTGAAGTGAGAAGACACTGCTTTGTAAATGCAGCTCATCCCCCCCCCATTAAGCAGAATGCAAATAAGTGTGGTTATTTTGGAAATTCAGCTTAAGATATGTAAGCAACATGCATCCCTGAGGCGGGCATTCAGAAGATACTAGACTACAAACACAAAAACATGACAAAAAGCATTTGTCTTAAAATCTTAAAATCATCATCATCATTATTATTATTTGGTTTCCTTGCTCAGGATCAAAATGAAGGCCTTACATTAAGCTGTACACTGAATTCAACAAAACATAATTTAAATGGCTTGATGGTAGTTTATGCCACCATGCCAGCACCATAGCATGGTAAATCCACACTTGGATTGCAATGGCCAGGCAGGCAGCAACCCAAGTAGAGAACAGTTCTATGGCTCTGTAATGTCAATACTATTTTTACCACTTGTCAGTTACTTTTTGCAAACAAAGAGAGACATAATTTTGTGTTCTGGTAGTAATTTATAGTTATACATCCTATTATGCTCTACTATATTTTAAAATATTTTATTATTTCATTTGTATGTTGTTTTCATCTTGGATGCCAGCATACCACATACATGCCTTCTGCCCATGGACCAGAAGAGGCCTTTGGATTTCCTAGGATTGTAGGTGCAGACAGTAGAGTACTGTCAAGTTGGTGCTAGAAATTGAATGTTTGTCCTATGGGATCTTTGAGGTGTTTCTACATCCCCGTCAGGTTGGTTTTGCATTGTTTTCTGTACATACTTTTTGTCAGTGAAAGCAAATAGCCTTACAACAGTTTTTTCACTGTGGTTTGCATCAGCATTTCTTTCCCTCATATTTTCTATCTTCTTCAAAAAATGAAGAAAGCCAGACATTTCATTCTTTTTTTTCATTCATTTATTTAGCTTATAAATAAAGTCATGCACAATTACGATACACAATACAGTATGTTCACAATGGCATGGCTAAATTAAACCAATTAACATGTTATATCACACATATTCATCATTTTTGTTTTGAGAATACTTGAAGTATACTATCTCACAACTTTTAAAATATAGCATATATTTATCAACCATATTTATCACGTTCTCAGTAGACCTCAAGACTTCTCAGAGTCCATGCCTCTTGTCCAACTGCAGTTTTATATCCTTAAACCAATCATTTCCCCATTGTTAAAAGACCCACATTGAAGCCTAATAGCCACAATTCTGCTCTCTGTTCCCATAAGTTCATCATTTCTAGGTTACACATAAAATTGAAATTGTGTGACATTTGTCTTCCAGTTTGTCACTTTTTGTTGGCAAGCATAAAACTTTACTACTTACTAAAGATGAAATCAAACTTGCATGCACAGGAGAGCACTCACTGAAACACCTTGGATTCATCACATATTTGAGTTTCAATTGGCATATATATATGAGAGAGAGAGAGAGAGAGAGAGAGCAATAATGGCAATATGTTACGCATCAATAGCAGCAACAGGTTTTCCAAGTTCTGCAGTCATTTGAACAAATTTGTGGAGACATCCAGCAAACTTCATTAAAAAAACAAAAAACAAAAAAACAAAAACAAACAAACAACAAAAAAATAAAAAACAAAATCCCAGAAAACAGCGCAGTTCTGTTACTCTTATGGTACTGGACACCTTTT